CAAAATAAAGAAGACGGAATCAAACTTCTAGTCACAAGTGCCACCTGTTCTTCCGTTTCTCATACAACAAATAACAAACGCATTTATCCAAAATCAAGCACATAAAACTAATAAATCATCTATAGCCAGACACAATAAATATGAAAAGGAGTATAAGAACTAATATTTAAAGAAATCAATGAAACAATCTACCAGCACCAAATTTAGTGTTCAAGAAGAGGTCTAGTTTGTACCTTAGCCTCCCAGATCGACAAATGACCTAAAGCCCGATGCCGAAACATAGTACCAAAAAGAAAAGAAACTCTTTCCCTATAGCACAACCAGTCAGAGAGATGGTTGAGAAGAGAAATAGCACAACCAGCTAGAGAGATGGTTGAGAAGAGAAATAGCACAACCAGCCAGAGAGATGGTTGAGAAGAGAAATAGCACAACCAGTCAGAGAGAAGGTTGAGAAGAGAAATAGCACAACCAGTCAGAGAGAAGGTTGAGAAGAGAAATAGCACAACCAGCCAGAGAGAGGTGGTTGAGAAGAGAAATAGCACAACCAGCCAGAGAGATGGTTGAGAAGAGAAATAGCACAACTAGTCAGAGAGAAGGTTGAGAAGAGAAATAGTACAACCAGCCAGAGAGAGGTGGTTGAGAAGAGAAATAGCACAACCAGTCAGAGAGAAGGTTGAGAAGAGAAATAGCACAACCAGTCAGAGAGAAGGTTGAGAAGAGAAATAGCACAACCAGTCAGAGAGATGGTTGAGAAGAGAAATAGCACAACCAGTCAGAGAGAAGGTTGAGAAGAGAAATAGCACAACCAGTCAGAGAGATGGTTGAGAAGAGAAATAGCACAACCAGTCAGAGAGATGGTTGAGAAGAGAAATAGCATAACCAGTCAGAGAGAAGATTGAAAAGAGGAAGCAACTATAGTAGTAGTTACAAAAAAACAACAACTTCAAAGAGATTTGTTACACCAATCCCACACCCCTCCCCGTGGGAACATACAGTTTGATAACACCCGAGCTAGATATATATAACACCCGAGCTAGAAAAGCCAAAGTTTATTCTTCTATCCCTAATTATCAATTTTCGGGGGTGGGGAGTCAACATTTTCTTTTGATGTTTCAGGTGATTAAACATTACAGCAAGACTCCACCTAGATAGGTCTTAGTTGTAGACATAATATCAGAAATATAATTGTTGGAATGGTATTATGAACCTAAAAAATCGAAACATCTTAATGTTTTTGTAAAGCATCACGTTACATGCCAAGGTAAATTTTCAAACAGCACTGCATGAAAGATGAAAGATAATTTGATTGAAATTGTCTCTAGATAAAACTTCTTGAAGTCTTGGAAATCGACGACATTTTGAGTTAGTAATATGAATTATTCACATTATGAAATGTGTAACGTCGTTGACATTAGGACTAATCACGTGCTGTTCGTAAAAAGATCCAGTCAGTTCTCCTTTACTTTTTACTTCGAATCACAAAATTCGCGTATGAATTAAGATCACAAAATACCTTTTTGTTTGGATCAGGAGCGTAATATGTCTTCGGAATTGGACGCAGTGGATAATTTATTTAGGACGCTTTAAAATCTAATTAAAATCTGTGTATTTTGAAACTCGTGTACTTATTTGCATAAGTGGGTGAATGTTTTCCAAGACAACCCACTTGACGTCATGGTCAGAAGATTGATGGGCACAGGAACTAGAGTGTCCTAATTCAGTAAGAAAGGAATGTTTGTTTTTAACAACACTCTTTTGCGTCAACAAGTCCTCATGGTCATGTAAGCTTTGCTACCAGAGGTCTCAAGCAAGCGTTAATCTCGAACGCAGGCCTACATTTCGTGTGAACTGCGGATGAGATAAACTCTCGTTTTCTTCACCCCACACTCTCTGTGTAATCAATCTGATTTAATTTTTCGACAGTGAACCATTTGCGATATCTAATGTAAGATTTTGATTTCGCAGGAGCAGTTCGTTAAAGTAGCTGCAAGTACGGCACAGTGGCCTCTAAGCGTTCATGCAATCTGTAGCCCTAGAGTCACGTGACCTCTGTCCTGTTGCCATGCTTGTTGACAAGCATGGAAAATGTAACACACAACTTTTATTTTCCATTAATCTTTGCCGCTGTATGATTTTTTTTTTCACGCGTAAGCATACTAATATTTGAAAATCAAATAAATAAATAAATAAAGCGCAAAAAAATAAATAAAAAATACAAACGCCTTTATAAATTTATTGTGCGAACTATAAACTAAAATTACATTAGTTTCAAATACAGTGGAGTATCGTTATTTTGTCGTACGACAGAAAAACAGGTTTAAAATTATTGTATTTTGAAAGTAAAGAATAATGGCCCGGCATGGCCAGGTGGTTAAGGCACTCGACTCGCAATCTGAGGGTCGCGGGTTCGAATCCCTGTCACATCAAACATGCTCGTCCTTTCAGCCGTGGGGGCGTTATAATGTGACGGTCAATCCCACTATTCGTTGGTAAAAGAGTAGCCCAAGAGTTAGCGGTGGGTGGTGATGACTAGCTGCCTTCCCTCTAGTCTTACACTGCTAAATTAGGGACGGCTAGCGCAGATAGCCCTCGTGCAGCTTTGCGTGAAATTCAAAAACAAACAAAGTAAAGAATAAAACAAAATTATGTTCGTATATTAGGAAAAACAGGTACTTTAAGTAACCAATTGACGTATTAGTAGTTATTTAGAAGTTAATTTCAAAAATGTAGTTTGGGAATACATAAAAAGTGTTGTATCCTATTTGCTAGGTAAATAACAAAAATACCGCGTTTTTTTTAATATTTCTTTAGCAATTATTATGTATCTTGGATCGGTCTCTTCAGACATCTTAACTGTAGGCTTTGTTGAACTCTTAATCCAATGTTATTGTGTAACAAATAGAAAAATCATGTGTAACAAGAAAGTTTCAATTTTTGATAATATCAATGATTGATATTATTTTTCAGTCTTAGCTAAAAATTATCATCGTCGTTCAAAATTTAAGTAATTCTTATGGGTGTAAAACCGCCCTTAAATTTCAATACATACTTGGTAATATGAATCGCTTAATATTTAAAAACTCATTTTGGTTATATGAGAACCCAAAAATTTTAAGTAAGCCATTTCGTAATATAAGCATAATTTTCTTCAAAGATGTATTTTTATTAGCGTAATATATATTTTAAAAACTGATTTAGGTAGTGATAAATTCAAAATATGGTTATTTGTTTTTTGTTAAGAACGAAGATACACGATGGGCTATCTGCGATCTGCCCACCACAGGTATCGAAGCCCGTTTTTTGGGGTGGGGTTCTAATCATTCAGCCTTTCCACTGAGCCACTGAGGGGCGTTTTAGATAAAAGAACAGGCCCAGCATGGCCAGGTGGTTAGGGCGCTCGACTCGCAATCCCTGTCAAACCAAACATGCTCGCCCTTTCAGCCGTGGGGGCGTTATAAGGTGATAGTCAATCCCACTATTCGTTGGTAAAAGAGTAGCCCAAGAGTTGGCGGTGGGTACTGATGACTAGCTGTCTTCCCTCTAGTCTTACACTGCTAAATTAGGGACGGCTAGCGCAGATAGCCCTCGTGTAGCTTTGAGTGAAATTCAAAACAAACAAACAAGATAAAAGAACTATTTTAAGTTGTCTTAATGAAAAATAAAACCGAATATTTCAGGATGCCTTTGGTAATGTGTAAGTCCTTTAATATGGGTAAAATGAACGTCCTTATATTTCTTTATGTCCTTCGTTTTTGTAACTGAACTTTTAAAGATGATCTCATATACATATATTCAGAGCTATAATACTTATTTGTGCCTTTCTTTGTCAACTGTCCTTTCGAGATTTTTGCTTTTGAACTACGAATGATATAAGATAACTCAATGTTTTCTGTTCATCTAAAGGTTTTAAATTTCAGTATACATATATATATCTATATATATATGTGTGTTTTTTAACGCCCTGCACATTTTGTTAAGGTTAATGCACATACATTAGTTTCTATTTTGTTGGTTTTGATATTATGAATATTCTAGTATTTCACCAATTCGTTTATTGATTTTTACTTATATAATACACTTTTTAATATTTTGTGTGTTCCGTTATTTTCTTATGTCTTTTTTTTTTAAGTTCAGTTCAAAAGCAGTTTTAATACACGTATCCCGTTTGAAGCTACAATATCTAGCAAAGGATTGGTTTTTGCGGTAAAGACAAAACATTAATAGACAACGTTGTTCTATCAAAGATCACGTGCTACTATACATGCAAGCTGCATGAAAAGATCAATTCGTATCTCATTCCATCTGTCAGCTTGATTGCGCTCGTTCAGGAATCTCTATTTTAACACAGTTAATTTGACCATGAAACTTGTCGACATTCAGATAAGTACGTTACCCCCAAAACCTTTTTTTTTCATTCCCGCGAAAACTCCATTTCCCGGGTACTGAAATGAAGAATAAGGAAACTGTTGAATACGAGATTATTTGTATGGACAAAGAAACGATTTGTTTGTAATTAAACACAAAACTACACAATGGGCTATCTGTTCTCTGCCCACCACGGGTATCGAAACCCGGTTTCTAGCTCTGTAAGTCTGCAGACATACCGCTGTGCCACTGGGGGGGGGGGGGCAGAGATACGAATAGATGAAACCAACATCTTACATACTCGCGACATTATTATATAAATTAATTATTAAAACATTTTAATTACATCAGAACATTGGATGTCTTATCTTTTGTAATTGAAAATAATTATAGATTTTTCTCTTTAAAAATTATTCATTGTAGCTAAGCTCGAGTGCTTATAACGCTAAAGTTCGGGATTCGATCCCTGCGGTAGGTGCAGTGTAGATAACCGTTGTATAGTTTCATCCTTAAAGAGCAACAAAAATATATCAACCTTTTTTGTTATGAGCTTCTTAATGTTTTAGTTTCTCCTTATATTTAAATATTAAGAACGATTTTTTTAAAAAAGTACATAAGATATTAAATATACCCACCCTCTTAAGTTGGCAGGTCTTTGACTATTATTGGGTGACCTTTGCCGGCCACTTCGGATCCTGGAACCAGTTGTGGGTTCACCGTTTGGAATACAGAGCCAAAGGCAAAGAAAGACGGTGGAGAAAATCATCGCGGAAATTGGAGAGAAACAGGTTGCTGCTAACCCTTTCACTGACTATCCGCAGTTTACTTGCTTCGATATGCTCTCCACAATCTCAGACTAACACTAATAAACCCTTTCAGTCAATGCAAGCTGTAAAATATCAAAATAGGAGGATGGACACTTAAAGTTCACGGGCTCACGTACTACACCCCACCATCATCATTTCTCATATGATAGGGTTAACCAGTTAATGACAGAGTAAATGAGTACATTAAATGGACGGAGCTTCGAACATATGTGGTCTACAGGCTTTTACCACAACAGTAAGTTGCTCCTCCTCAAGGCTGCCCTCTGTCGGGATGAGTGTCTAGATCCTTTTGTATCAGCGTTGGATTGGCTGTCACAACATATTTACTAGATAAAGAACTGAGAATTTTGCCGTTGATTACGTCTTTCTGGAAGAGACGCCTTATTTTGCTTATACAGCTTCCAAAAAATAAGCAAATGTAAATTAAAGATACATTAAATACAAAAATGTCAAAATTGAATTCATTAATATCTTAAATCATAATTACTAAAGTGATATCAAAAAATGACAGAAAATAACCTTTAGTAGTACGTATACTGTTTTAAGACGACGTAAAAGTTGAAATGCCACATTTCTAAACAAAATAATAACACTATGAACTCAACCGTGTAACCACCCCTGTCCGACAGCCGGAGTATTCTTATCTTTTTCTGATCTGTCTGTCTGTTCGTTAACGTTATAATAATTCAAACACTTTTCACCCGATGTTGACTAAAATACGTTAAAAAAATAGTTGCGTATCGCCGGAGAACCAATTGTTCAACGTATGTTAATGTAGCTCAAAGGTCAAGGTCACAGTGAAGGTCGATAGTTCAAAGGTCAAGGTTACACTGAAGGTCAACCACTCTGGAATTTTGACAAATGGTCAAAGCTCGATAACTAATTAGATATAAAGAGGATTTGGGAAGTTAGCCCACTATGTTTTTTTGTTAGGGTGAGGAATTGTTTGGTGTATATTTTAGGGTGGTCACTGCAAAAGTAAAAAAAAGAAGAAAAAAACATTGTGGGTGGGGGGCAGGTTGCACTCTCTGACTGCCTTTCTAGTTTAACACAGTAACGTGTGAATTCATTAGTCCCTTTCATATTACAGAAAAAAAAAAGTATTTTCAAATAATCTAAAGTCATCTTTGGACGTACATTAAAAACACCAAACAAACAAGACGCCTATAATTTTAGTTCCTTCCCAAGTATTTGTCATTTACAAAAAGGGACTTATACCTGACATTTAGATTAAAGGTTTGTCTAATTTATTTATAAAGTAGTGTTCTGCTACAAACGTCAACTTATTAACTGTGTTAAATCCACAGTAATTATACCACTATTTTCAGAACATTTAGTTGTATGGATGTGATACATTTCTAAATATCTTTATGGTAGCTTACGGAGCTTATGGAGGACGTTATATTTATAATGTGTACATCATGAAACACGAAGTTGCGATGTCTAAGAGGACATTATATTCATAATGTGTACATCATGAAACAGAAAGCTTGCGATGTCTTGGAGGACGCTATGTTTATAATGTGTACATCATGTTACAGGAAGCTTGCGATGTCTTGGAGGACGCTATGTTTATAATGTGTACATCATGTAACAGGAAGCTTGCGATGTCTTGGAGGACACTATGTTTATAACATGTACATCATGTATAACGAAGCTTGCGATTTCTTGGAGGACATTATGTAACAGGAAGCTTGCGATGTCTTGGAGGACACTATGTTTATAACATGTACATCATGTATAACGAAGCTTGCGATTTCTTGGAGGACACTATGTTTATAACATGTACATCATGTATAACGAAGCTTGCGATTTCTTGGAGGACACTATGTTTATAACATGTCCATCATGTATAACGAAGCTTGCGATGTCTTGGAGGACACTATGTCTAAGATTGATTATCATGTTAAAAGATAAAAAGTGGTGTTTAAAAGACAGATATGTGAAAAATAGAAATAAAAATAAACTAGTAGAGACAGAGAAAGAACGACAGATTACTTGCTTATTGTAGAGATAAGTGGAAACAGTGTTGATCACAGATGATCGTTACGTACAAATAGACAGATAGAAGAAGCACGGAGCCACTTGAAATAATTCAGATCTTGGTTAAACGGCTCATCCGTACAAAACGTTGCCTATACATGATGAACAGGTCAGCAACTTTTCTAACTATTGACTGAGTGATGTGATCGACGAGTTCCGCTAACCGCCGCGACAAATAATAAATGTGTGTGTGCTCATAGATAAATGAGCCATCTTAAACTGTATACAGTTCAGGACAATGGCACAACTCAGTGGCTGTAAGTAAATCTAGATAAGCATCGTGTACACACTTAAAAACATATATTTTTGAAACGTAAGATGATACACTTTAACTCATCTTATCCTATCAATGTGTAGTTGAATAAACTAATAATTTTAGTTTGACACGAGAATGTTTTTTTTTTTAATTTTGAATACAGATATCATTTAATGTATAAGAATGTATAAACGTCTATATATTTATGATTCGTAAATATAAAGCAGTTGAAAATATATTATCCTCAGTATTATTATCCTCAGTATAAAATCTTCATATCATAAACGTATTTTTTCTTCATTACAGCATCAGTGAAAGGATAGAATAAAAAGGAGTTATATCAAATGCCGTGCTTGGCTGTTATAAAACATTAAACTATTTCTTTATTAAGAAATAGGTTAATTGATATTTATATTATTAGCATCCTGAAAGTTGTCCCCTCCCAGTGGGTCAGCTGTAAGTCTGATGGCTTATAACACTAAAAAAACGGGCTTCCACACCTATGGTGAGCAGAGCACAGATTGCTCATTGTGTAACCTTGTGTTTAACAACAATAAAAGTCTTCTAGCTTACAAAGAGCCCTCCGTAATACGTAATAAAAGTGCTATTATTCAATATGGATGTGTACATGTTTTATAAGGCCGTTATTTCGTTGTGAAGCTAAATGTTTAACAACTAAGAGATAAAAACGACAACAACTAGTTGACGTTTATAATTAATCTAAAGCAACACGAGCCTAAGAGACGGCAGTTATATGTAATTCTTCTGTTTAACAATAAGAATGACCAAGGTGATTAATATATAATTCCTCTCTTATTAACCTCTGACCTGAAAAGTCAAATTATATCACATGGAATATCAACTTCGAGATAATGTGATATAAACAACGAACATTAAACAGTGTAAGTAGCGTTATGAATCTAGTTTTGTGTAAAATGTGCAACTTTGTGCTTAACAAACAAACAAACAAATTCCTTGAACTTCATACGACGTCCATTTTAAAAAAAAACAAATCCTAGTTCATTCATGTAGTACTGCAAATAAAATTAGTTTTAGAAATAAACGTTTTAATTTAAATATACACAAATAGTTAAGTTGATGTTTGAATAATTCAGTAATTTCTACCAGAAGTGCTGTTGCAGTTGTATAATAATAGCTACAATTAATAATATGTTATATTACTCAGTTTTATTATGTACCACATATAGCTTACTGATTATAAGTTCATGCAGCAGCCTTGTCTTTTCTAATACCGTAACAAATATTGCATGACGTATGTAAATATTCATTGTATACTTAAAATCCTCCACGCGTTTCACTGTAAAAAAATATTGTGTTGTAACTTCACACAAACATTGTGTTATTTCACAAACAAAGACTTGTGTGAAATTCAGAATTATAACAACTGATTGAGGTAGTGATACGATAACACAAGTTTTTCTAACAACACAAATGGCGTGCAGATTTCAAAATTGTGTTTACTTAAATGTGTTAATGCGCTGTGAAATCACATTTTATTCCGTATATGCAGACTGTATAAAATAAACACAAAGATTGCGCACCAACAAATTTGTCTTCTGTTAGCCAACAATGACTGTGAACTTTTAGTGCAGTCATTCAAACACTAGACACATTCCACAGGTCACAAGTTGTGTTGTTTTTAACACAAGTTTTTTATAGAGTGCAGAACTGGTATGTGATGACACTATACTTTCTAGGTGCAGAATTATTATTCATGAGAAGACAGACGATGCTGATTATACTATAAATTTACAAATAATGAATGCTGTGAACAGGAAAACATAATTGTGGAGAAGTACGCAAAAAAATATACTCGTGTATAAATTTTCCCATTTATTTCTTTTTTCATTCTTTAAAATGACCATAAAACTATTTTCGTTATGTTTACATTTTAACACCTACGCAAGACATCGGGCTAAATACATGTCAATTATCTCTCTCTTTTTTCAGTTTTAAGCACAAAAATCTACTTAATGAAAGTACTCAATCAAGTTCGTCTATTTGGAAAGTGAATTACTAAACCTAAATAAGTTCAATCCGTTTGTGGCGTCTAAGTACTCTCGCACTAGCTCTCAGCGACAACGTCTAAGTACTCTCGTACTAGCCCTCAGCGACAATAACACGATTATTTGTTGTTGTTTTTAGAGCAAAGCCACATTGGACTATCTGCAGGAATCGAACCCCAAATTTAAGAGTTGTTAAGTTCGTAAACGTACGACTGTCCCACAGAGGGATACACTTACTTAATATTACTTAACGTAAGTAAAAAAAATTAATAATTGTGTCGGTTCTTCATGTTATGTAATGTTTAAAGAAAAATCTCTACAAAGTCTGTAACAAGTTACGTCTAAAGAAAAATGTAAAAAAATAATCTGTATCCTTTTTTTCCGCTGAATCCTTCCTTCAGGTTTCTTTTACAAATGATCTACCCATTATTACCCATTCATCTTCTACTCTACTACTGATGTGCAGACCCCCCGTTAAAATCTGGAGCTCGATTCCCCGCGATGGACACAACAGATAGCCTCACGTAGCTTTGCTCTAAAACAAACTAATGTGGACTATCACGCAGTAAAACTGACCTTATATTACTGGTCGTTTATTTAATTGCGCCTGTTTAACCTTCTCAAGCTAGTAGTGGTATGATTGCTTATTATTGTTATATTTTGTAGTTGAGTGGTTTATTGTTGATCCAAGTTCCTCTAGAACATCACAGATATATTAATTTAGGAAATTAATATATCTGTGATGGAAAATATAACAGTAACGTTGAATGATTGTATTGTATAGAACATCACAGATATATTAATTTCCTATATTTTTACAGTAACGTTGAATGATTGTGTTGTCTAGAACATCACAGATATATTAATTTCCTGCTGTATTTTCACAGTAACGTTGAATGATTGTGTTG